CCACTTTATATGGGATCCATTTCCGATTGCAACAGTAGCACTGATGGCAGATAAGTAATATAATAACTTGTTATTTAAATAAATGTTTGTTTTATCCATACCTACGTATGAATAATTGTAAAGAAAATAAGACACCTTCTGCAGTTTCATTAGAAATAAAAAAACAGTTTAGCAAATTATCTTAAATAAATAATGTTAATTGTATTGCCACGTCTCTTGAAGGCTTACAAATTATGTTTGCGTTGTATTGATGTGTTTAATTAGTAATTGATCTAAAATAGTCAGTTAGTTATCTAACGGATTAGTCCATTTCAGTCACATAAGTTTTGTTGTTCTACACGAAATATATGGATTTAGTATTGTTTGATGATAAACAACAGAGTTAGCGAATTTTAAACAGTACTAATGTCGGAGTAACATTGCGAGGTAAACTGTAATAAGTGGACTTAGTATCAATAGTTGTATTGTTTTGATGGACTTAGTACATTATAAGGAATATGTTTCAGGTTTTTTAGCGCATTTTTTAAGAATAAAAAAAATGTGCTATTGTTTGCGTTTTGTCCGTCTGTCCGTCCGTCCGTCCGGACCAACTTCTGCCGTTTCGAACTACTTCTAGAGTCCAGGAATTTTTGCAGTAGGTAGCCATATACTTTGAATGTGTTTCAAATGGCCATCAAACTTCGCTGTCTTAAAGGCCCCCTCCCCCCCTTCAATTATTTCCTGAGATGGGAGTGGAACTGGTTTTATCCTTCATGGTGCCCTAATGAAAGGTCTCAACGAAAGGAATTAATTTCTATCAACCATAGTCCTCCTCCTCGACTTCTTATCGTGTTCGGATATATTCCCTTATATCTCCAGGACGGATTATCGGAAGTGGGGACTCGCAAAGGGCGATTGGAACATCTGCAAGAAATATATCCATTCGTGATGTCAAAACTTTAAGAGCGAATATCTCGAAAACGGTTTGTCGGAGGAACGTACTCTCATAGGTAGGCAAAATCTGCAGAATGGAGTCTCGGAGAATTTTGAGTGTATGCCAGGCGGTTTTTAAATGTTTGTGTGTAAAGAGCCTCCTCCCCTTATAACCCAACCATTTACTAAGCTATATCGGTTAAACAAAAATGCGCTTTATCTGCACAAGAGTTGTGCACAATTTATACTTGTTTATTTTTTATTTTTATAATATCCCATTTATGGTTGTCATTTTTCAATTTAAGTGTCTTATTAAAAATCTGCTTTAATCCTCAAAAAATATGTTTCTTATCGTTTATGCAGGAAATTTTCTACAAAATGATGACCATTTCTTTCTTACAACAACGAAGAAGATGAATAGTTGAACAGTATTGATATATTTTTTTATTTCAATAAAATTATTGAATTATAAGTTGTTTATCAAATAAATAGATTTTTTTTCTAATCTGAGTTGTGATTTCATACAGGAAAAATATTCTCCACGCCCTGTATATGATGAAACATGCTTGCTTCCCCTTTTCGACCAGAAATGTATTAAAATTGGTTTACACATAACAATAATAAGTCCATCATTCGAAACAATTCATAAGAGGTAAACAATACTAAGTCCCGTAAAACAAAAATTTTTGATATAATTTCAAAAATTCGACCATACATATGTAAACTTACTAGTTACAAGTAACATGGTTCATCATGATGAAAGTAATCAAATGTATAGGTTAATAAGGTCAAATTATTCCTTTGTGCTTCTTATAATGTGGTTTTCTGTAAACTTTTGAATTTGTGACTTTGTATACTTTACCTCTGAGGTACAGTTTCCAGCTATCTCAAAATTTTGCACCAATAAAGGTTGTATTTCTCCAAAATGAATCAATGAGGGAATGAGGCATGTTATAGTAAATACCGTTTTGAAACATTGTGTTATTTGTTGTATAGGTACTTTAGCGTATGCAATAAACGAGAAAAAAATGACCAACGTCTACACTTTCACACCAAGGCAACACAAAGTACCGTACTGTAATAAAAAAATAGTTTCTTCAAACCTTAACTTTTCCGCACGGTAGCCTCTGCTGAAATCCAGCACTTTCCATTTATTGTAATTACTTCTCATGCGTCGCTTCGCCTTTTATTGAGCGAAGTACCTAAGCGATGTAGCAATTATAGACATGGATGTCTGCTCCTGTAAGAACTTGATAACGTTTAACATTTCACCAAAACTAGTCCAGAAATTAAAAATTTAGTTTTGACATGTTTGATATATAAGTAAGTATTAATATATAAAATTACAATGATCAAAGCAAGGTTTTATTGTGCTACTCTTAAAATTATACCATGCGATCAAAAATGAGTTGCTGTCGAGTCACCTTTGGAATTTTTGTTTACATAGGAAATCGTACTTAATCTGAACTTCCAAAGGCGACTCGACAGCAACTCATTTTTGATCGCCCGTTACAAGCAATTCATCAAAAATGTTTAATATGATAGATTTGTTTTATTAACTGGTACTTTATGTTAAAAGTTCAGTAAGACTGATGACTGAGACACGGTTTTTCATAAGTTTAATATAATCGATTGATTTGCTTTTTTTAAAACTGATTGGACTTTACCAAAAGATGCTACTGTTAAAATTTGTCGTTTCTTGCAATGGTTCTTCAGACAATGCGTTGAGAAGACAGCCAATGATGAAGTGACTTGGGGTAAGTCATTTGACATTTGACAACGTCATGATGAGCCTAGATTTCAGAACTGCCTCTACTTGCGTAATAAGTGTATATAATTCTTCGTATGTTAGTTTCTGCATTATCAGATATATGATAGTAGGTACGACATAACCCTCGTCTAAAGACAAATCTTTTCAACAAATTTAAGGAAGAATCGGTTGTGAAAGCAGTGGAAATTTCAGGATGAATGGCTTTCGTGCTCAAGCATACAAAGATGCATACATACTATGTATCTACTTTAGAAAATCCACGGCTATCTGCAGGAAGCTGTCCCATTTGCGGAATCGTTGTGGTAGGATTAACTCTGAAACATGTTATGCATTGTTTTAGCACGCTACGTACGGCTTGCTTTCCATTAATCGCCCAGTAATTTTGCCTGATTGTCGACAAAATTAATTGGGATCCACCGTGCAAATTTTTGTGATGGTCATGTTGCATGATCAATTTTGATAGTGCATGCTTGGGCGGTAGGATGATTTGATGTTTTTGTGAGAATGATAATTCGGATTGCTTCAAACGTCCACCTACACACAAAATGCCTTAATTAGCTAGGAAAGGGGTTAAACTGATTAATTTGCTTTTCTGATGAATGGGCCTGTTTTGTTTCATTTTCTCAGTTTCCTTAGAAAACTCTTGTATTTGACAAAGTATTATGAGGGTAATTTTAGCTTGGTTGATTTCCAGTTAGTGACAATTCAGTCTTTACTTTAGTTTTTGTACGACAGTTTGCAATGAATGGACTCACATATGCTGTTACTCGTATGAGCTTGTTTAAATTTGAATATTTATTAAATATTGAAAAACCATGTTGCGTTGTTGAGATTATACTGACTAGTTTTTGTTCTTTTGCCTCAGATAATACATGTGATGGTGAGAGAACGTATGTCTGGAACATGTCGTTTTTTTGTGGGTCGTTCCACCACGATCCGTGGTGTTTTAAAGCAACAAAACTTATTCCGAGTGATATACAATCGGCAGGGTTATGTTCATATTTAAGTTACTATTGTCCTGAATAAGCGCTACTCTATTCGCTACAAATGTCCTCAACTGATATTCTGTTCTGATCCATCCTAATACTACTGTCGAGTCAGAGAAACAGTATATTTTGTGTTATTGATTAACTTGTAAACAATTCGAACCTTGTGATATTGAGCTTTTTAGCGGGGCGACACGCGATTTTGCGCAAAGTAATGTAAATTGTTTTCTATTGACATTTATTGATTGCATATACAATTGCTCCATATGCTCAGATCTGTGGCAAAAAGCGTACAATTTAAATTGTGTGACATTCTGAAAGGTTACATATCTGGGAATTTGAAAACTGTTAATGTTTAGTGAATCTTTTTAAAATTTCAAAAAATCAGATTGAATTTCTACGATAACTTCATCATCTCAATCTATGCTTAATGTCCAAATTTGTTTGCAATAGTATTTCCCTAACTGATTCATGAACGTAAACACATCTATGCATTTTTGTTGTCAGCTAGAATTATAATATTATGTTTTCTGGCTTTAAGTATGATATTGAATATTTCATCCTGTACAACTGGGCCTGTTTTTAATGTCATTTAGAGAAAGACCTGAACTTGACTTTGATGATGCATCAAATACTACTCGACATTTTGTTGTTACCTACGCTACTATTTTTTTTGTACTATTTGTTGCGGAATATAAGAAACTGGACCTTGTTTATTTTCGTAAAAATCTTAGATTTCACTCATATGACCAAGCATGATGTATTTTTGCATAAACTTTACTTATTCTTTGTGTGAATCGGGGTTTCTATACAATTTTGCTTCGAGACTCAAAAACTTTTCCAAAATCGTTCTAATGAGTTCTGAATTTCGCAGGTTGAAAAGTGACAAGAAATTTTGCAATATTTAATGGTCCTGAGATTATCCAACCCAGTTTTGTGTTGTTATCTTTCGTTACACATATTTGCTCTTGTAATATGTTTAAAAATAGTTTGGCTCCCATCAGTATAGCAATGGGGAGTGATTGATTAAAATTCTGTCCGCTAACTTGACTTTACCTGGGATTTTTAGCATCGATTTGTCACTTAGAAGAGGTTTATATTTTACCGAGTAAATTTGGGTTGTTAAGTTAATGAAAATATGTTGCCTACCAATTACACGAGAAAAACTGTCAACTAATAAAGATGTGACACCGAAGGTGGAGCAGTTTTAGGGTGGCAGTTTTCTGAAGGAGGTTCTATAAAACTTTTATTCCAAAAACGTTAAATCAGACAGAGAGATAAAGAAGAGTTATTATGGTACTATTATGGTCGTGGCCGATGCTGGTCAGGAATTTAAAATTCAGCAAAATGATCTGCATAAAGCGTCAACTTAGCCAGGGGAAATTATTTTTATGTAAGAAAATGCTTCTTTAGTGTTTCATTGGACACATCCATATTCCTCGTGCGTGCGGTGTGAAGTATGCTACATTCACTTAGGCTGTTGAATCTAAAAAAATAATTACAAAATTGTCTTATTACCACACCGACTATATTTACTTTTTCGTTCAGAGGAGATGTCACACTACTGTCAGCAGTGCTTAAGGATGCTGTTTTCAAATCGCTAAGCTTGTCAGCCATGAGGTCAAACTGGAGCATAATTACTAAGTAATTTACTACCGTCGCACCAATCTAAAATCATCATCATCAAATTACACATCACAATTCTTACAAGTGAACTTACACCGTAAAGCATCCTAAAATCTATTGCGAAGATTTTGCAGGCGCTTACACTTAGTGTTTGATGCATTAGTTGTAGAATCGTCTTTTTTAACTGAAATTAAGAAACGGGGATATAAGAAAGGGTGTTTTTTATATCATTACCAAAATGGAATAATCCGTTTTTTCTGTCGCAATTTTCATTCCACAAATGATCCTTACAGTCGAATTCGCCTGTAACATATTGCGTTATTCACAAAATCCTACTATAGAGCAACGCAGCACTTTAGCAACTGATACGAACACATTGCTACAAAGGAAACCAAGCGTGGTGGATATTTCTGCTAGACGGGAGTGAGATGTGTGGATGAAGAAATTTCCAGGTCGTCTGTCACTAAGAAATAGATTACTGGTGGTAATATATCTCCGAGTACTGTCGATTCATATCAGAAACCAATGCGCTGCTACCAAAAATTACAACGTACACTGTGGCACATAAACGCAGTGCAGAGTGTTGTATTATACAGCTCTAATATGGTAATGACAACCGATGGTAGGATAACAATCATATATCCAAACAAATTGTCAGCAGTTCGGCTACTAAACTGAAGGTACGTTATGGCGTACAGATGAGTTGTAATTACTGAACAAGTTAATAAAACGTATACAAACAGTACAATAGAGTAAGAGGAGTTTATGCGCTTGGCCAATCCTATTAAACGATTGTGCACATCCATTAGCAACTTTAATTTGTTAGGAAACGAATTTTTATCATGTTGGCTTGTACGACTTATTCCTTGCTTCAATATAACGTTTAACAAAACGAATCTATCACCAATAGTAGTCACCCAAACACAATATTGTTGGTTTATGGTTATATTAACAAAATATGGTACTATTTTGCCAATTATTACAACCCATGATGACATAGCACGTTCCAATATAAGAAAAGATGTTATGTACACTCCGTAACCGATAAGTAGAAAGTTGGTTTTAAGGACAAGTCGCCGATCTCGTTTCCTTAATTCAGTAAGTGCGCCGTTTACTACTAGAAGTTCATCAATGGAGACAATTTCTGACCATGCCAGTTTGTTTGCATTCCCAAAGAATTGACTCACAACCAAGGACAGAACAGTGCCAACATTATCCACATACCAGTAGGCTCTAATTATGAATAAAATCAGAGCAGATCTAGAAAACGGTCCTAAATGATCATGGAATTCTACTTCCACATTCATTATATTCAGTTTTATATAAAACAAAATGTAAAGTATGCATTGACCAATTCGTGCAAACTTCCACTTTATATGCGATCCATTCCCGACTGTCACAGTAGCACTGATAGCAGATAAGTAATATAATAACTTGTTGTTTAAATAAACGTTAGTTTTCCCCATGCCTGGAAATAAACTTGACGTGTGGATAATGAAATTGTAAAGAAAATGAAATTCCAGTTGGGTTAGTAATAAAAAACTGTTTAGTAAATTATCTTAAATAATTGATGTTAATTGTATTGCCACGTCTCTCGAACGCTTACAAATAATATTTGCGTTATATTGATGTGTTTATGGTTTAATTAAGAATTTATAACGTGAAAACAACGTTTACGATAAAATTCTGATACCCAGCTACTCAGGTCGGTGCGAAATGGTCGTAGGCAAAGATAATTCATCTGTAATAAACAGTAACATTCCGACAAAAAATTAACTCCCTTAGTAAAATCCGTTTATATTTAGAATTGAAAATGATTTTCGTTGGCACGTAGTGTACAGGTAAATAAATAATTAAATTGAAATGTGACCCCTGAGAACTAAAAATTAGAACAACCGCTATAAATTCAATAGGTATGGCCATATTCGTACAGAGATAGCGTCGTATATAAAAAAATAAGTACTTGGTTTGAATACAATTGGCACCAATGGACAAGTAGCCAAATTTAACTTCAATTAATAGTTACTACTACAACATTAGAAAAAATCAATACTTATAGCTGCCAACTTCTATACAACAAGTTGTTCTTGTCCATGGTTTGAAAAGGAATTACAAACTTCTCTGAAACTGAAATGAAACAAATTCCAAAACTACATACCAACGGGATTGATTTGATTGGTTTTTTATTAATGGTAAGTTTTCTTCGCACACGGATTCTTGATAGGTGAGTTGGTAGAACACCCACAGAGGTTGAACTTTTCGGAAGGTTTTTCCAAATGCAAATGAATCTGGGCTCGCTAACACCAAACGAAAGACGTAGAAACTCAAACGTGCTGCTTTTATCGAACTCCCCGCAACGTCAGTTCGTAATTCTGGATCCAATACCAATTTTACCAGAAAATAAATTGAGTAAAAAATAAAAGGCTAAAATTGTATGCATGTACAAAACGAATGCTCAACAAAAAACTTACGATTTGGTAACAAATCCCTTTTTCAATAATCCTCGTCGGACTCAAATTTCAACGAAATTTCGGTAAGCAATACGTGCTTCTTTCAATGGCAATTATATTTGCATTTAATTCAATTAAAATTTTAGTAATTTCTATAACGTAATTACTTCTTAACATCTTGACACGTTCAAAGCTATCAAGGAAGTGTCCGCTTATCGTTCGGAAATTCTGAGTCTCTTGAAGGATTTGTTGATTTCAAATAATTTAAATAAAATAGAAAATGTATTACACTGTTAAACTCAATTCATTTTACACTGTTAAATTAATTTGTTACAAATTGATCTGAAATAGTCGTTGAGCAATGTAGCGAACTACATTACAAACGACCGACGTTCTTCGCTTTGGGCAAACATAATTATTAAAAGAAATATTTGGAGGTGCTTTCAACCGAAAAAGAAAATAATGTTTTCAGTTAAGTACGTCCTTCATTGATAAAAAATAATAATAAAGCTACCTCAAACATTGCCCTCATTATACCTACGCTTGTATCACAACGTACTATTAGGTGCACAATAAGGTACCTACACAAAAACATTTTGCCTACTATTGCTAGCTTTCCATACTTTGGATCTACACACAATACAGGTATCTACCCGATTCATGCTTCCAGAGGGATCTAAATTGGAATCCGTCTTGTAAACTAAATTTGGAAGAACTTCCAGAGGTACTCTTGTTAGTTTCGAGGGCAGTGGGCCTCCCGATACATCAAAATAGCCTTTATTCCAGAACCAGTAGCAAAATGTTAAAAAAACAATTTAACAATTTTTGAGCGCGTTTCAATTTGAGGCATGGTTAATTGTACTAAATCCGCAAGGAATGTGCGTTGTTGTTTTTTTCAGAATAAATTATATATGCTGCTATATCTGGCGTATTCAAAAATATTTTTTTACATAGTGATGAAATTGTCGGACTTTTTTAAACGAAAAATCGTATGGAAAGTGGTACTTTTTTTCACGATTTTTACTATGCGTTTCCATGGAGTTTAATCCTGTCCATGAACAATAGCATCCACTTTTGAGTGACAGTAAATCGCGAATGTCAATAAAATTATTCAATTGTGGGTTATTATGGATCACTATGCAAAAAAATTTCGCCCTCATTAATCAAACTGCAAATTCATGAAAAAAGTATCACTTTCAAAATTAGTTTCACAAATAACTATAATTCAGTTGTCGTTGAAAATGGGATGTGGTATTTTTGAAACACATACAAAAAAAAAGGTAGGTGATTTGTTTCAAAAAGAGGCCTAGGTAGGTATAGATCGAATAAGTATTTAAAATCGTTATTTTTTTTACTATTTGCCACATTTTCAATTAACTACATGCGAAATTAGATCACTCACTAGTAGGCGGGGGACACTTTATAACCCGAAGGCCCAATCTTCAAGGGAGTATCACCTTTTTTTGAAAAGTGTTCGACAATTTTGTTCCTTAACTCATCAAGTATGTACACAACAAATTTCGTTGACTTCTCTCAATTTCCGTTGTCCGGCCAACAATTTTATTGCAGTGGAACGTTTATTCGAATTTTCAAAAACTAATTCCAGATTCGTCATTTTCATGATCAAAAACCCCCAGATACCAAATTTCTTTGAAATCAGAATTTTTTTTCGCAATCCCAAGTAGGGGTGCGCCCTTTCGTGCTAGCAACTTTGAAAAATGTTTCTCAAAATCGGACAGGGCATACCCCAAGACCTGTTAAAAGACCCATCTTTGTAACTGGTATGGTTGCTGAAAAAAAATTAAAGAAATCCAAATCTCACCACTTCTTTGGGGGTGGCTCCCAAACTAAACACGTTGGACGCTCGGTTTATTGGGAAAAAGTCCTTGTCTTGATCCCATCTATCACCCATTTTTTTACATGCGATCATGTAACACCCTGTATATTTAATAAAATCAGGCAAATGACCATAGTATAGATGACTCAGAAGGGATTTTAGTGGGTATACCCAGTATCCGGGGGAGCCCGACACTTAGTGCGTCAGTGCATTTCTCCTCCCGAAGGAAAAAAAATAGTACAATTGGTTATTCGTTAAATTCAATATATAAAGAAAGATAGTATTTAGTTAATTCAAATGAAACGTAAATGAAAAAATAATTCCTTTTTAAATCATGAATATTAATCAAAATTAGTTTATATACATTGCCTCCTACAAACATTTTATTTATATTATTTTTTATTGATTTGAACTCGTTGATTGTAGGTATACGTTGTAATCCATTTTGATTATTTGACATAATTAATCATTTGTCAGCTGGTCAATAAGTGTTATTTAGTATTATTCATTAATAAATTAAATTAGTAAAGGGAATATATAAGCGACCGATGTCGATTTTCACTATCATCGTGCCCTTTGGCAAAAAATGCATTAGACTAAATTCTTGAGCATCGAGTTCGTTCATTTAGAACGTAAACATGATTTTGAAATCTTTTGCCCTTTTTGGGGACTTATTGATCAGGAATTGTAAAAACACTAAATTTTATTGATTTATAAGCTTTGAAACGGTTGTGTCAGTACTGACCCCTTCCAAATTATAGGTCATTCGACCCTTCGTGCCACTTAAAAATTTGTAGGAAGATGCAACCCCAAGAACAGGAGTTTTTGGTCTGTAATGGACATATTTACTAGGTGAGTCTAAAATTTTGATCAGTTTATGTTTCTATTTAAAAGAAAATCAATCCCGAAAAAGCGTGTATTAGTTCTCTCGGCGAAATAATACCAAAAGGTAGGCACTGAATTGTAACTAAAAATTGCTGCTTACGCGTATTTTTCACTTCATAAATAAACCACCCT